AAAAAAAAAAAAAAAAAAAAAAAAAAAAAAAAAAAAAAAAAAACTCGTACGGGGCCCCTAGCGTACGAGTAGCGTACGAGTACCTTCTCTTTTATTTCTTTGTGCTGATTCCGCTGGCAAAGAGAAATGCGGGTCCGTGTTGGGGTGGAAAATGGTTTAGAATCTTTAGATCGAGATAGAAAAATAGTCTGTTGATCCCCCGTGAGGACAGCGCCCTTTTAATATGTTGTCGAGCTTCTTGGCCCCTAGGTCTCCACCCCGTGTGCCTTTCTAGGTTTTGCTGGTGAGACTGACATGGTTTGTCTATCCTAGACATCTGTGACCGTAGATGCTTCTCCACCTCTATTCGCTTGTTGTCCCTATCAGTGCTTCCACTCTAGGAACCGCTTGACTGGTTAAAACAGGGTTTTCCAACTTTTCCTCTTCTCCCCGCTTTCACCTTTACTCTTTAATGAAGTTTAATCGCTCGGTGTTAGATGAGCAGTTGTCGATATTTCTTTCCAGCGCTAACAACGAGCAGTTCCAAGTTCTATGTACCCAAAAAACAAAAGCTCTCTTTTCCTAAATGAGTGAATTTCTCGTCCGTCTTGGGACTGTCATGATTCAAATTTTATTTCCAACTATTGTAAGTATGCGCACGCTATGCCGGTTCTACCGTAATAGCGTCGTGAGAATTCCTGTCCTAGTTAGGCTGAAACACCCGTCATGATTACTCGCTCTGATCAAATGACGTTTGCTTTCGCGGATGGCTGTCGTTCCCCTCCTCTTGAAAGATTGTCTTTTCTCTCGTCCTTACGCTGTCTTCCCATTGTCACTTGCGCGTGGTGGGTTCAAAACGAAAGGCCCTTCGATCTCACCTTGTCATCTGAGAAAAGACGCTCTAACCTTGTACATTGTGTTGATGGCGTGAAAGTTGTTGCGCCTCTCCTTCTTCAACGTGATGTTTTGTCGTTTGTCTCGTTCCTGCGTGTCCTTTTCCTTTGATTGGAAAAAGTTCCGTCTCACTTCTTTTTCCTTCTCTCTCTTTGCTTCTTGTCCTTTCCTATTCATAAGACCTTCCACCTCTGCTTTTTTCTCTGGAGTTCCCTCCCTCTTCCTCCTCCTCCTCTCCCTTGCCTTTGCTTGTCTGTTGTGTAGCTCGGGAGAACCACGCCCTTGGGCGTGGCATGATGTGGCGTCATGTGCGCTCGTCCTTCGCTCTCCCTCCTGCAGACACTCGAATTTGAAAGGGGAAAGAAAACACGCGAAACCGTGCAGATTCCCGCTGGGCATGGAAAATCCCGATGGCGCAGGTCCGCGACTTAGCGCAAAGAGGTAGCGCTCACCGTACCGGCATTAGCGCTCAGGCCATGATGACGAAGATTGGTTTTCCTCAAATTGGATAATTCATTCATATGTATTATAATTTATATCCATGAAAAGCATTTTGGAATGTGTGAAGTTACTGGGTGAAAGGAGTATTATCATGTTAATCAAGGTGAGTACTCAACACATAGATGAATGTCTTAGCACAGGCACAGATTTTGACATGTATGGATACATGACGTGACAAGTAATGCAAATGGCATCTGGGGTTTAGGAAGGTCGGAGGAGAGGAGGGTGGGGAACTCATCGCTAAGGATTTACAAAGGAAAAGTGACGACGAGATATTGAACATGCATAAATGTTGGCATTTTGCTTTCCATATGCAGCCACCTGTAGCTGGAGCTGTGAACTGGGCACGAGCATTGTTTGGACGAGTGCGAAAAACTATGTTCAAATTCAAGAATGCTGGCGAAGACATACTTGTAGAAGAAGCTGGCCATGAGGTGACTGCTAATACTACCTTTATGTCCGATCTATCCAAAGCAAGTTTGAATTTCCAGGACTCCTAAAGTAACATTTGAAAATGTAATGACCCACCAAAACACAGACTGAACACACTGCTGATTTCTGGGATTTGCCGCTGGAATGAATGCCTTGCTGAGATTCCCGCGTTCTGCTGTGGTTTCCAAGTCTGTGTGTGTGTGCGTGCCTGCTGGTTTGYGTGCCTGTCTGAGTGCTTGTCGGCTGAGTGTGTGTGTGACCCGCAAGGGTACTTGTTGGTTGAAAGGCCCCGCAGGGCCGGTACTTACCTGTTGCCGTGACTTTGAGGGTTGCAGTGGGGAAAACACTCGAGTAGCGGGGGTTGGCCCGTGATACTTAGAGCAGGGGAAAAACACTCAAGTAGCAGGTAGGCCGGTACAACTCAAGTAGTGGTAGAAGTGTTGGGTACTGGAGGCCGAGCAGAAGAAGACAAAACTTGGCATTTTTAGAGGCCCAGTAGCGGTAGGTCAGAGGTAGGCTGGTACCAGTCCAAGTAGCCCGAGTCTAGGGCCTGTCTGGACAATAGCAGAGCCTGCAATGATGTTTCCCTCCAAAAGGGAGGAGGTACCGGTTGCTGGGAGGCCGCTCGGCCTGGGAAGTCACCGCCCAAGAGGCCAGTAGGCCGCTATAGCAAGCAGCTCCTCCTCATTTGCGGTATGCAAGGATTGGCGACATGCTGCTGGAGCCAAGCGCTGGACTTGGGCAGCRCTGCCTGGAGGTGACGAGCAGCTGGGCGCTCAGCCTGGCTATGGCGAGCAGCCCAGCCTGAGGAGGAGGAAGAAGGGGACGAAGGAGGAGAGTGGCGAGGTACCTACCTGGCTGTGGTGGACACCATCTTCATCACCTTGTTGGGTGCTGCATCTGGAAGGCCCCAGTTGGGGTAGTGCCGCACCAAGGAAGCTTGAGGCAGAGTCAGGCATGCCGGCCTAGTCAGCAGCGGCATAGCTGCTTTGGGTTGTCCTTTGGACAGGAGTGCAGCGACATAGCTGCTTTGCGTTGTCCTTTGCACAGGAGGGCAGAGCCCTCAGTGGTCCGCCATAGCCTAGGCATGTGAGAGGTGGAAGAAGGGGGGAAGCCATAGCTATGGAGGACCTATTGTGATGTCAGCAGTAAGAGGGAACTTCGGATATTGATTCTGGTTCATCCACTCATTGTTATTATTATTATTGGAAGAAGAATAAGATTGGCGAAGTGAAGGAGGAGGAGGAAGGTGGAGAGAGAAGGGGGATTTGTCATTGGTCTTGCTGGTACATCTTCTTCTTCTTCTTCTTCTTCTTCTTCTTCTTCTTCTTCTTTCTCTCTTCTTTGGTCTCTATCTCTTTGCAAGTGCTTTCATTTCTTTCACATTTGGGTGGCGTTGTCTTTCATTGTGAATTTGCACTTTGGGAATGACCAGGATCGTAACAGAAAACGTGAACAGGACATGACATGGGATGGCAGTGTTGATCCACAAAAATGGAATGAAGCTGCAGCCATAAAGCAGTGCACTAGGATGATGGCATCTTGATTCCAGAACCTGGTTGCAAATGTTGGTGGTGGTGGTGATAATGATGGATGGTGATGATGATGATGATGGCGATGGTGATGATGTTGATAATAGTGGTGATCGTGAGATTATAATGGCAAGTTTCTGACCTGAATCTTGACCAGAGAAACCGTCCATCTGAACCTGCCTGCTTCCTCCTTCGAGCGAGCAAGACTTTCCGCCCTTGAACGCTGCCCTCCCTCGTTCCCCCTCCCCTGGCCTCCCTCTCCGATGGGATAAGTCATAAGTCAAATCAAGTATGGTTGACTGATGCAATGAACAACTGGACCCCTCTGTTCCGATAGCCCTCTTCACAGAGCACTCAAGGGCCTGCAGAAATTCATGCTGGGGTTCCCTTGCATGGCCTATCACTCCAGCAAGCCAATGTCCTGATTCTCACATTGTGTATGGCTGTGTCAGGCCAAGTGTAATACTGTCTGTGGCAGTAGCAGCAGCTGAAATTGCAGACAATCCACCCATGTCGGTAGGGATTGTATACTGTTCACCGTATAGTGATATAGGGAATGATATAGAGAAGATTAGTGTGGCCCCTGTGCAAGGATGACATTCACAAATCGAGAAATGGTCCAAAAAAAAAGAAAGTACTCTTTCTGTAATCTCTTTCCGAGTGAAATATCAAAGATCATATAACATTCTACTGTAGCCCCCTATGGCTGGAGCTGCATTGACCGGTTCTGACTGTGTATGGTGTATAGCGAGCAGGAGAGCACCAACACATCACCGATATAGAAAAAGTACCATGTGACTCACGCTATCTGCTATGGAACTGCAACCCAACATTTATTAGGCAACCACCGCACGGTGTGCTGCATATGGTCTCTAGTGAAATGTCAAAGAGCGAATAACATTCTGATGTAAAAAAGGCAGACTGTGGCAACAGTCTGTCGGGAGACACAGTGACAAGCCCTTGTATCATGCACTCTCAGAAGTCAGCACAGACTCTTAGAACAAACTCAAAATGACAAGTCTGGCAAGCATGGAAGAGAAAATATTGCCCTCTTGAGTTCAACCTTCATACGAGGCTGTGAGCTCTCGCTTCGCACACAACACAGGAGCATGTCACCATAGCCAGTTCTCCCCCGTAGACAGAGCAAATTAATTCTTTTGAATCGTTTTCCCTATTGTGCAGAAATTGTCAAATGCCTTCTAGAAAATTTGAGATTTCCAAATTCTTCCAGTCGAAATTCATATGCGGAGTGAATGTGATCAGGTGGCCAACCTGCACTTTGTCGGCACCAGTACGTTCTGACAGGCATTTTGGATTTTTCATTTCCCGGGGTCTTATGCTTGCATTTCACTGCTGAAATTTTGCTGTTGTAACTTGTGACTTATAACTTTGTAAGGTCATTAACGTAATCCATTCTCTATTTCTCAGCCTTATGGAATCCACCATTGCCCATCACCTATTTATTGCTGCCATGCCATTTGACTAATGTGCCTCGTTTTGGTTGTGGGTTTTCACGGTGATGCTGTATTTCAGGTTCACAAGAAATATGTGGCCCTTGCCAGGCAGATGATGGTTTTTGAGAAGACTTGGTTTGCAAACTGGAAAAACACGGTTGATGTCGCAACCTTGGCATATCTGAAGCAGGTAGAACTTATCTTTTTTTCTGAACCAACAGTTCCTCTCGTATTGTGTCAGATTACTATCGCTATGATGGTTCTGGCTCCTTTTCCATTCTGGGGAGCATCAGTCCGGTTCCTATTCCACCGGCAAGTCCAAAAGAAGTAAATATAGGACTCGCACACGCTCTTCCCCTTTAAGGTAGGAAAGCCCGAGGGACGACATTGATTACTTCTTGTCTGAAGGATGTACCACCCCTCACCCCTGCCTAAGTTAGCCTGATTACTTTATTTTGACTCTTAAGTTATGGAAACGAAACCATTAATGTGGACCCTGTAGTCTTGCTTAAGGGAGGCCACATCTTACCTGTAGATGTGATCCTCCTCATTAGAACTTGATAAACCCTAAACCCTTTGAGGTCTAGTTGCTAACGCCTATGGATGAGATTAACTTCTATACTCCCTTGTCTTTCCTTATCTATAAAATCTACCTGGTGCTAAAACCTAAACCCTAGCTAATTTAGCTGGCCTGGTTACCTTTACTTGAAATCACTTCTTATGATTTGTACATTGTAACCTATGTAATGACGCGCCATAACACAGACTGAGAACACTGCCGATTTCTGAAGTTCTGCCGATGGAATGGATGCCTTGCTGAGATTCCCGCATTCTGCTGAGTTTTCTAAGTCTGTATGTGTGCGTGCTTGTTGACCTGCATGCCTGTCTGAGTGCTTGTCGGTATGAGTGTGTGTGTGACCCGCAAGGGTACTTGCTTGTTTGGCAGGCCCGTAGGGCCGGTACTTACCTGTGGCTGTGGCATTGAGGGTTGCAGCTGGGGAAAACACTCAAGTGGCAGAGCCAGAGGCCTGCGGCACTTAGAGCAGCGGAAAAGTAGCAGGTAGGCCGGTACCGCACCCAGTAGCAGTAGATGTGCCGGGTACTCGAGATCGAGTAGAAGAAGACAAAGTTGGCATTTTTAGAGGCCCAGTAGCGGTAGGCTAGGTCTAGGCCGGTACCAGTCCATCCAGTCTGAGTCTAGAGCCTGTACGGGCAATATCAGAGTCTGCAATGATGTTTCCCTCCGAAAGGGAGGAGGTGCCGGTTGCTGGGAGGCTGAGCGGCCTGGAAGTCACCGCCCAGGAGGCAAGTAGGCCGCTATATCAAGAGGCCGAGGGAAGAGCCTGGCCTCATTCTTCAGTGTGCAAGTTTGGCAACACGCTGCTGGAGCGCTGGCTGGAGTAGCGCTGGGTACTACAGCGCTGCTGGGAAGAAGAAGCCGGGAGCTTCCTCCTTGGCTATGGTGGAGCTTTACCGGTAGGAGGAGGAGGGAGAGGGGGACTAAGGAAGAGAGTGGCGAGGTACCTACCTGGCTATGGTGGACACCATCTTCATCACCTTGTTAGGCGCTGCATCTGGAAGGCCCCCATTGGGGTAGTGCCGCACCAAGGAAGCTCGGGGCAGAGACAGGCATGGCGGCCTAGTGAGCAGTGGCATAGCTGCTTTGCGTTGTCCTTTGCACAGGGAGGCAGCGACATAGCTGTTTTGGGTTGTCCTTTGGACAGGAGGGTTGAGCCCTCAGTAGTCCGCCATAGCCTCGACCTACATGTGAGAGGAAGGAGAAGGGTGGCCATGGCTATGGTGGACCTCATGTTGTGCCTGCAGTAGAAGTGGGATTCGGACATTGATTCTGGTTCAGCCATTCAACATTATTATTGTTATTTCTTGTTTGAATAAGGGAGGAGGAGATTGGTTGGTGAAGAAGAAGAGCATTATCTTTGGTCTATGCTGGAGTACATCATCTTCTTCTTCTTTCTTACTTCTTCTTCTTTCCCTCTCTCTCCTCTCAAGTTCATTCATTTCTTTTTGCAATTGGACGACATTGTACTTTCTGATGAATGTATACTTTAAATTGGCCAGGATCGTAACATTGGCATCGGAGCGGATTCTACTTGCTGGCGAGAGTTGACTTCGCCGCCATAACCCTAACCTAAGTGGTAAGGGCTAACCACTTAGGGTTAGGGCGGAGGTTAGGGTTAAGTGGGGCAGCGTGGTAAAGGGAAGCTGCTCCCATCTGGCAGGGCCGTGTAGGGTGACATTATATCCGGCCAGGTAGCTTGAGTGCATGTTTGTGGTAAGGAGACACAAGGTGGGACTTCGTGATGCAATTTGAGAGAGGCGACAGTGAAGGGCACCCACAACTGGAATCTGGACTTCAAGGAAGACGAGGAGTGACTTTAGGGCTCCCCTCAAGTTAGGCGAGCTTGAGGGTGGCAGCCATATCTGCACCTACGGACTGCAGGTTGCTACTTTCATCTTCAACATCGACGGGGGATCCGGCGTTGTACTTCGGGGTAGATGTTGACCCTCCTTGATGATAGGACACTAGTGTAGAGGATGTTAATTGGGTCAGGAGGACTATGTGAGAGGGGGTGAGTTTCTTTCATCTCAAGAGCCCGGCCACTCAGGTAAGTGTCGTGCCGCCAGGGTGCCCATGTGTGTGTGCATGGAATTGACTGCCTGCTGGGGTATTCTGGGTTYTTCTTCCATCCTCCATAGTCTTGATCTTGTGTGAGGTGTGTGAACTACCTACTCACCTGACGAGTGAATGAATGGAGTATCTTGTGTGTCATGCTATATCTTTCTACAATGCTTTGTTTATTTCATTCTGAACGGCTGTAGTCTGTAGGTTCTTTTTGGGGCTAAATTTCGTTTTTCAATTCGGTAGAGACAGAGATTAGGTCTTTGTGGAACTCTTGTTGGTTGGGACCTGGTTCTGACTCCACTGGGACACTCGCTGCTGAGGGGATCTCAGCTGAGACGTTTTAACAGACTTCACCACACAATCTGCCGCCTGACTCGCACCTTGGACACCACTCGATTCTCTCTTGCATTACGTAGTACACTTTGAATTTGATTTGTTGTGTCTTCACGGAGCTGAGTCCGGCTAGCCTTGAGAGGACCTCGTACGTAGTCGGACCAGACTGTGTGGTGGAATCAGATCTCTTTGATCTTTTATTCTTTTGTTGTTTTGACTGCTCTCCAGTCCAAATGAATTGCCGCTCCGGCTAGGAGTTCTACTTCTAGTTGCTTTCAAGACTGTTTCTTTCATTGAGTTCGTTAAATGTCTGCGTCTACACGATCGCAAACGAGAGAGAGAGAGAGAGAGAGAAGAGAGAAACTTTTGAGTGTTGCTCTTGAGGGAGTGAGGAGAGGGAAGAGGAGTGTTCGTCCCAAAAGTGCGAGGAAGTACGGACCTCTCTTGAGAGATTTATTGACACCCTCGTCCTCCACCATGGCATCTGCAGCAGAGTGGAAGCTGCAAATGGACACTGCCCCTGAGGCAGAAAAAGCGCAATGCCAGTTCTTTTATGAAAAAGCATTGAAGAGGGAAGAGGAAGAGAAGGAGAAGGAGAGGCGTGGCAAAGTAAAGGCTCATGAAGCCGTCTTCAGTATCGTGCCCGCCTTAACTAATGATGAGGTGGAAGAGAAGACTGTCCCACTCCTCAGGGCCTTAGTAGAAGTCCGGGATCTCGAAGACCACACTGGCCAACTCGCAAAGGTGTTTGACGAACTCAAGAAGTTGCGCGAGGATATGGCCCTGATGGTGCAGCAACACCGTGACCAGCTGCAACAGTTTGTTAACATGCAGCCGTCCCAAAGTGCCCTTCCGCCGGCTTACCCTGCTTCTAGTGCTACGTGTCAGTCCGTTCTTGCCCCTCTAACTTCTTCTTCTTCTTCTTCTTTGAGTGTGGTCAACAACCTATCCGGATCCGCAGTAGGTCCATACCCCGTTGTTGTTGCAGCTGCTGCTGCAGTGGCAAGTGGCAGTGCAGGGCATTCTGGAACTGTTGCAGCCCCGAATTCGGACTCAACAATCGTTGGTCCTAGCTGCAACTTTCCTTACATGGATAGAAAGGCGGCACACATTCCGTCTAAATACGACTGAAAGGACGACATTGAATCCTGAATCAGCTCTATGCGATCCTACTTTGATGTGTCGGGGACATTCCCGGTTACTCGGTCGTCGGTCCTAGGGACCAATGTGGAACCCGGCATAAGGGGTTTCTTAGAAATCCAGGTTGTACAGTCAGGCTATAAAAGAATAGACCTGAATAAATGGCTGAAGGCTACGCCTGTAGCCACACTCGAAGAACTCTTGATCAAACAATATGTTGATCTGCATGCTGCACCCAAAGCTAGACTTAAGCTTGACAAGCTCAAGCACAGCAAGCGGACGGACACCATGCATAGTCTGCAGCAGTTGCTACTCCTGATCTGGAGATGACTGCGCAGTCTTGTTTGGATGTGATTAAAGGTACGGTTCCCTCTACTATAGCACATCGCCTGGGGCTCGGACTCATAGCATATACAGATTGGCTTACCCTCATGTCGGATTTAGTCAAACTGGAGGCACAAGACCTCCCGGGTGGATCAAGTGGCAAAAAGACCACCGACCGCAAACGGTTTCCAGGCAGCAACCGTTTTGCCGTGCATGATCTACTTTAGGTTGACGAGGAGACCTTCGTAGAGGACCCTTCTCTTGACGACGATCAAGAGTAGTCTTCGTCAGCCCATGAGTCTGATTATGTGAATGATGATGAATCTATGAATGCCTTAAAGAAGACTGCCTTCAAAATTAAGGGACCGAGGACCACAGTGAAGAACAACACTAACACCATTCTCCTTCCCAAGGGAGCGAAGATTCCACCCAAACCGGAAGATCCTGCCACAAAACCATGGGTAGATCTCCGGATCAGTGAAAGTGAGTGGAAACACAGGGTGAAGAAAGGGGGTTGCTTGCATTGCACCAAACCGGGATACTCAGTCCAACATTGCTTCAGATTGCAGCAGAGAAACCAGCAAAAGGGGTAGAGATATCATCAGCAAACTCTACAGACGGAGAGGCTGAACATGTAAGTGCAGATCCTTCCCCGGATTCTGATCCCACTCAGCAAACCTCTCATGAGACCCCATCTGATGCTGATTCCAAGGCTGAAAATTTGCACATCCTATACAAGGAGCCTGTGC